TTAAAATGGAATTCTAAAAATTGTTTAAGTAACTCAATAGGAAGGTAAGACAAAGAAAACACTGAAAGGAAAAGCAGAAGGAGAAAACAAAAAATAAAATGTCAGACTTAATCCCTAACATACAAATTGAATTAAAAGTAAATGTCTGAACATATAAAAAACAGAAACTGACAGAATGGATTAAAAAACATTAAAAGCCTAGATGTCTCCACTATGGAATTCATCCACATTAAAAAACAAACAAAAACCAAACCAAAAGAACTTGTACCCTCTAAATCTACTTAAAAGAGAAAAAAAAGAGAATAACTCTGGGACGTTGAGGTTGAGGTGGGCTGATCACTTAAGGCCAGGAATTTGAGACTAGACTGGACAATACAGAGAGATTGTGTCTCCACAAAATAAATTAAGAAAAAAAAAATTAATCAGGTGTGGTGGTGTATGCCTACAGTTCTAGCTACTTGGAGGCTGAGACAGGACGATTGCTCGAGCCCAGGATTTTGAGGCTGTAGTGAGCTATGATTGTGCCACTGTACTCCAGCCTGGGTAACAGAATGAGACTCTGTCTCAAAAGAGAAAAAGCAAAACACCATAACTCAACTAAAGACTGGGTCTAAGAAACTCAATTCTATGACAACACATGTAGGGTGAAAGTAAAATGAAGAAAGATATATATATATATATATATATATATACACTTTGTGAACATTAATCAAATGGAAGCAAGAATGGTTATATTAATAGATTAAGATTTCAGAGCAAAAAAATTACTAGGGACAGAGAAGGACACTCCAAAAAATGATAAAATGTTCAATCCACAAAAGACATAGCAATTTTAAATGTGTATGTACCAAACAACAGAGGGATAAATATGTAAAACAAACCCAATAGAAACAAAATAAAAAAATAGATGTATCTACTGTTATAGTTGGAGATGTCAAACACTCTCAATATTTGATAGAACTAGGTAGAAAATGAGCAAGGATACAGAAGAACTCAACATCATCCTCAAACAACAGGATACCACTGACATTTATGGAACATTCCACCCAACACAAGTAGAATACATGTTCTTTTCAATATTTATCAAGACAGAACACAGTCTGGGTCCTAAAGCAAACTTCAAAAAATATGAAAGAAATGAAAGCATATGGAGTATGCTAGGTGACCACAGTGGTAACAAACTAGAAATGAATAATAGAAAGAAAACAGACAAATCTTTAAAAACCTATAAACTGACCATCACATTTCTATGTAACTCCTGGGTCAAAGAGGAAGTGCCAAAGGAAATTAAAAAATATGTTAAATTGAGTCAACATGAAAATACAACATACGAAAATTCGTGGGATACAGGTGAATCAGTGCTGACAGAGAAATTTATAGCAGTCACTGTTTCTAGTAGAGAAGAGAAAACATCTCAAATCAATAATTTAAGCTCCCACCTTAACAAATCATAAAAAAGAAAAGCAAGATAAATACAAAGCAAGCAGAAAAAAGAAAATAAAAAAGAATAAAAACCAGTAAAACTGGAAACAGAAAAAATAATAAAGAAAATCAATGAAACAAAAAGCTGGTTATTTAAAAAGATAATTAAAATAACAAACCTGTAGAAAGATAAATAAAGCAAAATAGAAAGACACAGATTACCAATATAAGGAATAGAACAAAGGATATAGAGGTGGTCCCTGGGCTATAGACAAGATAAATTCCTGAGAATGTCTTCAGTTTGGATTTGTATGTAACTTGGATCCTTAATTAATAGTGCATATATGGTAATAATAATACTATAATGGCTCATATGTGGTAATAATAATAGAATATAGGGCGGTGCTTATGGCTCAAAGGAGTAGGGCGCCAGCCCCACATACAGGAGGTGGTGGGTTCAAATCCAGCCCCGGCCAAAAACTATAAAAAAAAAAAAATAATACCTTCATTGGAGCACTGCCTTTCACACGTTCTGGTATTCTCACTTTATCCTTTTGTAACCGTCCTCAAAGCTGAGACTGAAGCCTAATGCTTTCCCAGTGAAAGACAGCATTTGGTCTTTCTCCTAACCTTAATTATTTCTACTTTCTTTTCCACTGTAATCAGTAGCCCTTCTCTTTGCTACA